TCCTTCCCTCTTCCCTCCCTCCCTCCTTCCTTCCTTCCTTCCTTCCTTCCTTCCTTCCTTCCTTCCTTCCTTCCGTCCTTTCTTTCAAAATTTGTATTTCTACATTTTGCACAGTAGGCTCCCATTTCTTTGTACACAGGAAGGAAAGTATTCTCAAGGGAGAAACACACCCTTTGCTTCCAGGCGGACTCTGCCCACACGGGACAGATTGTGGTGTGTTCAGGGAACCACGCTGAAACCAGCTGCTCCTGACTAACTAGAGAGATTGATAAAAACAAAACAAAACACAGAGAGGCTTTCAGTGAAAGGATGCTTCAGCGGGCACAGCTCAGAAGGAAAAATCAAACAAGATAACAGAAAATTATCATCCTCAGAGGACTGAATAATTTTCCGTGGGCTTCTTTTTAAATGAAAAATGAAAGGTTCTATAAATCAGCTGCGGGTTTCATCCTGAGGCTACCTGATTGTTGCGGAATCCTGGCCAGGCTGGGATTCGCTTGCACCTGGGTGCGCGTGTGCGTCCACCTCCAGGCCTGGACACCCGGAGCACGTTCTGCAATACTGCTTCTAAAAGAAGGTCCTGAGGGCATTATTTTGAAATGATGCTCCATGTCCTTCACAGAAGATTTCTGTGTTGAATACTGTTTGCAAATATGTTGAATCTCTATTAGAATAGAGGGACTATCACCGAGCTTCCCTGTCCCTGGAGTGCTGCTCTCGCTCTCTGCTGTGGACACCAAAATTCTCAAGTGCTCAGCTTCCTTATAGCAAATCCTGTGGGCCCAAAGGCGCCTACCCAGCCCTTCTGTGTACTCCGCCTCTGGACTGCTTGTAATGACCAGCGCATGTAGGCACCACGTAAATTGCTGCTACAGAAGCAGGAAGCCCACACGTGTTCAACACAGACGCGATTCTTCCCCACACATTTTCTGTCCGTCCTTGGTTGGCTCCGAGGTGCAGAGCTGACTCTACCCCAAGCAATGGGCCCACGTGCAGGAGAGCGGCTGCCTGCCCTCAGCCTAAGTGCTAAGGAAACGTTTCCTAAGAAACACAGTGAAGACCAAGACGTGTCCATGTCACGTGTCCACGAGTCCTTTCCATTGCGGATTAGTGCTCTTTTGATGACTGTATGGTTCTTTCTACTGTTAACAATGCAAACGAAGTGGGGAGGTCAGTTCCTAGCTGTGTCCTTGGAGCAGCGTCCCGCTGTTGCCCGGAGCAGCGCGGAGAGGAGGCGCGGTGCGATGAAAGGCACAGCTGTCAGGCCTCGCTGAAAACCTTCTTTAAAGGACGTCGTGAAAGAGAACAAGCGGAGGAGGTAGGGCATCCGAGGCCAGGAGGAGACACAGTGTGACCCGCGACAGAAGAGAGTGCGGAGAGGGGCTGGCTCCGGGGACCCCACCCCACGGCTGCCGGCTTGTCCTGAACAAATGCGATGCTTGCCTGCTGCAGTGGGGTTCAGAGGCGAAGCAGCCCCTCCGGAGCAGGCAGAGGCCTGCAAAGGAGCTGGCTAGACCTGGGAGGGGAGCGCAGCGCAGTGGGCAGTTGGTCAGGGAGCTGGGTGGGGCTATCCTGTGCCCATGGCGTATGCAGGGGCCCACGAGCTGCATGGTGTGGGCTGCCAGTGCACGCGTGTGCATGTGTGTGTGTGTGAACATGCGTGTGTGTGAGCCTGTAAGCATGTGTATGTGTGCATGTGCAGGTGTGCTATGCAGTGGACTGGGCTGCGCCTTCCAAGTTCACCTGGAAGACCTGGACCCTGTGTGCGTCAGTAGTGGAGCGAAGTCCTTCAAGTGGCTGGTGAAAGTTAATTGAAGCCTCAGGAAAGCGCCCACCCTCAGGACTGCAGCCATGAGGCCAAGAGGCCTGAGCCACAGGGAGAAGAGTGTGGGGCCTGGAGAAGGGGGCCGAGGACCAGGTCTCCGGAGCTAGTCCCCTGGTCTCAGGGGGCTTAAGGCAAGGCCCAGGGAGGGGGGCCCTCCCATCCCCCTGGGCTCCACCTCAGCTTCACAGTAGTGGTCCTGTTTGATCAGCACAGCAGGCGGCAGTGCTGCCGCAGCCAGGGAGCTGCCTGCTTGTGCCTGTGGTGCAGCTAAGGAAAGGGTCAGCAGCTTTGGAGGTGATCAGCTGGGGGTCAGGGATGGAGGAGAGCCCCAGGAGCTCCTCTGTGCCCTCCCAGGTAAGGCGCATGAAGGAAGGAGCCCCATCCAAGAGCCAGGAAAGGGGAGCGGTCCTCAGCAGACCCCGCCTCCCAGAGTTGTGCTTTGGACTTGCAGGCTCCTACCCTGCACTGGAAGCTTCTGTGCAGAGCACGTGTGCAGAGCACGTGTGTGCCTGCAGCAGCCCAGGAGGACCAATAGAGGTCCGCATAAGCAGTAACTCAGCGGAGCTCTACAAAAGCAAATGACACACAGCTTAGAAGGAGAAATCAAGGCAACAGTTGTCCAGCATGCGTGTGTGTGTGTGTGTGTGTGTGTGTGTGTGTGTACAGTGTGACAATGACGCATCACTCTTTGGTGGAGTCTATGCCTGTGTCTCGCTCCTTGGCTCCTCGGGGCTTTCTTGGGTTCTCTCTGCGGCTCCCCTGGGTGACCACAGCTGGACCAGGACTCAGCAGAGCACAGCTGGGTCCTGCACAGCTTCCAGGCTGCCTTCCTTGTTCAGTCATCATGGTGGGGCCCTCCTCAAGGGCCCCTTCTTGGTGCAGCTGGCAGAACACAACTATCTTTTGTTCCTTGGGAGGCTCTGAGGGGTAGAAACTGGAATAATTTGGGGAGCAGGTAGCGGCCCCCACTCTTATTACTATGCTCCTGTTGGGGTGCTGCCCTGCAGCCCGTACCAGGCAGAAGCAGGCGCAGCCACTTACAGACCCATTCCATCTTTCCTACACTCCGGGATGCTTTCTCTTTTCACTGTCACCATGGTTTTCAAGGACCCAGATAATTTTCTTTATCATGAAATTACTAAAAGTGAGAAATTCCAAGCCTTCTTTGGAATGTTGGGGACCAGACACTGAGGCAGTGCCTGGGAGCGAACAGAGATTATGGAAGAAGCTGTGGGTTGGACACGTGCACACTGGGCGAAATGCCTAAAGGAAGCCACAGAGCATGCGTGGAACGCGCGCCTCTACCTTCCTACCCTTGAGGAAGTCATTGAGTGCGCAAACTAGCTGTTTGCTCGTGAGGCACCCCAAGGCAAGCTGTCCACACCAAGGCATTGGCACATGCTTTGTACTTTGCTTGTGGTGTTTCGGTTTACACGTTCTCTCTCAGTAGATGCCTAATACCTCCCAGACTCATCCTTTTCCCTCATCCAGGACCCAGGCACCACCCACAACCACATTAGGGTGGCATGCGTCATGCAGTCCCCCTTGACCTCCAGTGCAGACCCGCAGCCTTTCATTTCTCAGTCAGTGGAGCCTTCCTAGCCCCTCCTTTCCCCAACTTGTCTCCTCTCAGACTCTGACACCAATGCAAATTCTCTAAAGCCCACTGCAAGTGACGCTCTCTTCTTCTAAGCCACCTGCTAACTGCTTTGCCATTGCACCATACAAGCTTTTTAATTTTTCCATTCGTGTTTTCTATGACCGTGTTACAGCTTGCTTCTTCTGTTATCTTATCCAGGCTTGTTTTTCTCTTCTTCATGCGTATCCCAGCTCCTCACATTTTCTCTGTGTTCATGTCTGGCCCAGTATGTGGCTTACTCCCATGAATTTCGCTGTGATGTGCTCCTGTGCCTTTCCACCTTCTCCTGGGTCTGCCTCACTCATGTCAGCCGCCCACGTGTGTCTATTTATCTTTCAAGATCCAGGTCGAGAGCGTCCTTCTCTGTGAAAGCCTTCGGACCCTTCTCCCCTTCTCCCCCACACAGATCTTTTTTACACTTCTTCACTCACATCTGCTCTCTCCTAGAAGGCAAGTTCTTTGAGGCAAAATATTGTGCATCGCTTACCTTAAAACCTCCCAGGAACAACACAGCGCTTGCTACAACACGGAATGTTCTACAGGTGCTTATTTAGTGAAAGGAGCATCAATTCTTTTTGCACAAAAGAATGCTATAAACTCTTTGAAGTATTCATGTCATATACAAGAATGATTGAGACATTGTTCTAAGTTAGTCATCAAATATGGCTTCTTCTTGTCCTTTTGGTGTGATTTTCCCCATAATCAAGTAAGAGAGAAGGTATATTTATCTTCTTCCCTCTTTACCTTCTCAAAAGCCCCATCATTCTCATTACATTGCTCCCATTTCTGATGTTTTCTGAGTCATTATGTTTGTGTGAGTGGCTATGCATGTGATTATGCAGACGGTACAAGCACATCTTTCTCCCAGTGTGAGGAGCAAGGAGCTAGAGTACACTTCTCCTTCGCAGCTTTGGGTGAGCAGGGGCAGAGCGCTCTGCTGAGGTTCTCATGAGGTGGCACTGTCTACAAACTTGGCAGCCACCAGCCAGACTCAGGGCTGAGTATGACAGAGCTCCAGGCACTTGGATCAAACCAAAGCAACACATACACACACACACACACACACACACACACACACACAGAGAGAGAGAGAGAGAGAGAGAGAGAGAGAGAGAGAGAGAGTAGGCAATGACATCTGATTAGTCAGTTCTTGTGAGAATTTCAGGAGCTACACAATATTGATTACTGATAATCCTAGGCTTGTAGTCCTGGGTGAAACTGATTCATTATCGATACGTAACAGATGGTTTAGAACAAGCAAAAAGTCACACTCACTACATTTAACTCACTTCCACCTGCAATCTTCCTTCTCATTACTAGAATTATTGTAAGAATAGATTTTAAAATACATTTAATGAAAAGAAAGAAGCATTTTTTCAACATGCTGATCTTCTGTGAACAGCACCTTAGGCCACTGGGCACCGGAGGCTATATTTCCTGTTCGAAGGGTACACTGCGGGGTCAGAAGGGCTGGGCAGGAGGCAGTGAGGAAGAAGCTTTGAGCTTGAAAGAGACACACGAGGATGTGATACTTACAGCTGTCCTCTTCCTCAGTTATGCATTTCACAACATAACAGGCGTAGACGAACCCTGCGAGCTGAAACAAAACAGAGACATTCAATTGCCTCATAGGTCACTTATTGCCCTATTTTCTCTGACGGTGGTAATGTCTAAGACTTGTTAATTGCTAGATAATCTAAAATGACTTATTTCAGGTAAAAAAGAACAAGGAAAGTTGTCAATGGACTTGACATTTGCTTCTGGGCCACTCACTTTCTACTTTACTTTTCCTTGGGGCTGGGCTTTGGATTCGGAAACTAACTTCCTCCTGACCATCTGAAAAGTGATTTGAAAGAAAACATTAAGGACGCTCTGTTGTGTGAACTCTGCAAGGAAGAGAGACTTGACTTAGGCCGGCAGCAGCCACCAGAGCATACTGCGTACCATCAGATGCCACGGCCACGGCACCGTGGCCAGGACGTCAGGAGGGCGCAGTCAGAGTCGGCAGTGGCCGCGCCTCCCTTGCGCTTGGATTCTGCGGCTGCACTGCCCTGTCTGCCAGGCTGACTCTGGGGTCATGAAAGTCCTTGCTTATGGGAATCAGTGCTACAAATGACCACAGCCAAGATATGCGGGTCTATTGCCCCGGGTTTGGTGATCCTGTGTTCCTTCAAATCACTTATAGAGTGCTCAGAGTCTGAGCTCTGGCAGAAGGAAGTAAGTGAATATAGTTAGTAGACAAGTTGAAGACTCTTTTTAACAGAAGTACTCAAGTTGGAGTCAGTTCTGAATGGCATGCGCTTGGGACATTGGTGACGACTATTCAGAGTGACCTTTGCAACAAGCCTTGATGGGCTGCGTGCTGGCCCCACGGCCATATTCCATGTAGGGAACAGGGTATTTTGAAAGATCTCAGTCCCTCATCATGGAGCTAAAGCTCCGGGTCAAAGGAGCTTCCGTGACAGGAACAATGAAGTCAATCTCCACTAGCTGAGAGAGACATTCTCTGTGAGGGGTGAGTAGAACACTGTTCAGTCAGAGCATATTTAATAAGCTCAGAGAACTATTTGGAGAAGAAAGAGATACAGTTAATAAGTGTGTTAGAATATCTCTGATTTCAATTTGAGAAAGAAACAATGTTCTAGACTATTCAGGCTATTTCTGAAGAGAAGTGGCACGGAGTGATATTGTGGTCACCCAGGAGGGAAGGGGCAGCGGCAGTGACCATGCGCAGGGGTGGGTAGGTGCGAAGAGCCACTCAGCGTGCCTTTCAAAGGCCCTTAAGCTGAACAAGAATGCCGCTGAGGATATATTAGTGTCATTTTGAGAAATAAATTTTGGAAAAGTGATGATAAAATCTACTTCCCTAATGGGAATCATCAAGATCTTTGTTTTTAGAGACCTGTTTGCAGAATACAGGCGACCAGTGAGAAATTAGTGCTTCTTATTTGGCTTTAGCAAAGATGATAAAAATCACATCCTGATCTGAGCATTCCCATAGAGATGAAACGTGCTCTTTACTAAGCACGTCAGTGGCATGGGGACTGGGTCACTCGGACTTAAACCTGGTTGTGGATTAAGGTGCAGAAGTGGAAGTTTGGGATGAAGAGGTCTGGCCAGATAGTTCAGTGGACTAAAGTGCCTGCTTAGGCAGAACGCAGCAGCCAGGGTTCAACCCCCAGCATGCCCTGCTGGCCTCATTCCCCAGAGCGCAATGAGACTGCAATTGAGACTGGGCATGGTGGCATGTGCCTGTAATCCCAGCATTTGGGAGGCTAAAAACGGGAGAATCACTGAGTCCAATCTGTGTAGTGAGACCCTGTAGACTCTGTACTAAATACATTAAAAAACAATTAAAAACAAAGTTTTGGCTGAATCCCTTCCCGCGGCACCATTTCTTCCTCCATTCTCAAACCTTGTGTGTGCTGACCTGTTACTGACATCTCACGGTTTTATCTTTCTCTTTTCTTCTAAGTACTTGCTTATTATTTGCATAACAATTCTTCCCCAGTGATGGACTTTTCTTTCCTCATTACTTCATTCCTTTGAAATGAAAGGCTAAGCAACAAGTATTGCTAAATTTTGCGATGCAGGGCCAGTGAGTTGAATTCCTCATTAAAGTGTCACTAGACTCTAGATTATTGAGTGTACTGCTCCTGAATTTTGCTAAGGAAGTGCATTCTACTTATCAGCAATCTTTTAATTGTATTCTGTTGCATTCTTTAACTACCAGGGGAGCTCCTTTGCTATAAAGGTAAGCCCTGGTGCATTTCATTACAAAAGCTTGCTGATTAAGATAAGTTTAGCTTTTAAATTGGTCGCTTTAAATACAAATAGAAACTTCTTCCCCCAATTAATCAAGGTTCATCAACTTTGCTTTCACCCCAGTTCTCCACTGTATACAAATTTGACTTGATTTTTAAAATTAATTTTATTGAGAAACAAATAGCAATGAGACAGTTTCAAAACCGATTAGTAGGAGAGTTTCAATAATTAGTACATTGCATATTGTTGTCTTCGTAGTGGTTATTCATAGCACAAGATGTAGACATAGTATCCTGTCTAAACACTGTTAGTACAAGTCTTTCTTCTCATTGGATTAAGAGAAAGTAGATGTATATCTATCCTGTTTTGTACATACAGATACAAATAAAATCCCAATAGGAACATGTAAAATTTAACTGCAGAAGAGAGGGCAGTCACTCCTCACATGTGTGGGTGCGTCCTATCCTACACAGCTCTGCCTGCTGCTTCCTGAACTACAAATTCTACCTAGACCAGGACTTCTCAGCCTTTGATAGTGCTTTGAGGAAGTTGTTGGTGTGTTAGTAGAACAACCATAGCATGCTGCAATCAAAAATAGTCAACAACTGATGCAAGTAAGAGTATTTCTAAATGTATGTCTCTAAAAGGCCAAAATTGTTCCTGGTCAGAGCCATTGCTTTAAACACAGTCCTGCTCTTAATCTGGCATCTTGTAGCAGTGACATGCATACAGTTGTGGCGGGAAGATTCGGTAAGTTGTCAGGAAAAGGGAGGAAAATCATCAGTGCAGTGTGATCACAGGCAACTGGATATTTTCATGTATTGGAACATTAATTCCAACAACCCTCTCTGGGAGAAATCTGGTGTAGTCTGCAGATGAGAGGTAAGCAGATTTTCTTTCCCAGAGTGTGGTCATCAGACAGAGAATCTATGGCTTGTACTAAATCCAGTAGTTCTGTCTGATTGGAGTTTGGGAACGCCATACCAGAACAATGGGAATCAAACCCCTGAAGGCAGATTTGGGTCACCATCAGAGGGCTGATTATTAAGTCATGTATCTAGGTCATTTCCTGTACAATATGTCTTAGGGAGCACTTGCTGCAGGAGTCTAATGTTATTCATGGAACACAAATCCTTCCTGAAATGGTGTTCGGCTTCTTTGCTAATGTCTCCTACCACCCCTTTTGCCAGAGCTGATGGGAAGCTGCCAGCCGCTAGTGGTTTCCTGGCAATGTCCTGCAGAATTTCTCCTCGCCTTTCCTCATTCTGCCAGCGAGGTGAACCACCTCACTCCTTCTTCCCTGCGCCACAAGCCACGCACCTGAGGTAACTCTGACTCATCCTTTGAGACTGAATTCCAGTGTCACATTCCCAGAGGAGTGGCCATCCATTCCTAGGGTAAAGGGGAGGGAGGTTGGCACCTTTTTAGTTTTACTTTTTGTGTTTCTGGGAATTGAACCCTGGATACTTTTGAGACTGGCCCCAAGGGGTTTCAGGAGAGAACTGAGCAGATGAAGCATAAACAGAGGGGACCTCTTCCCAACAGAGTGGGGAGGGGACCTGGCAGACAAAGATTCAACTCAGTGTTGTTGCCCCATTTGGAGGGACTCAGTGCTCTTGAAGAGGAGTAATAGGCACAAAGCAGAGAATAAAGACTTGCGCTGTTGTTGTAGGTGTGAATTCCTGAAATTAAAATGAAGTGCCTTTCACTTTGTCGCTTCTTTAACAAGGCTAGAATAATAGCAGAAGATCCGTGTGGCATTCTAGGAGGTGAGCATGTAATTATCCACTTGCAAAAAAACAAGTTATTCCAGTTGTTTTGGTCCTTGGCATTCAAAGCAGAGCAAAGTCTAAATATTTTTATTTTTATTCATCTTTTTGCCTTCATAATATGATTTGTTCACTATTAATTCATCTGGTAGGGAATAACATCATCTTGATGTTATTGCTGACAAAAAAGGAAATATTTTTCCTCCATAACTAAATCAAATTAAAAGGTTTGTGTGCCCCAAAATAAAATTATGACTGTTCATTTCAGCACTTCATGTAGAAGTTTATAGATAAAAGAAATGGAAGACTTTTGGTAAGTATTTAAAAAATCAACTGTAATGATCTAAAATGTAACAAACAGTGTTTAAAATACTGTACTTTTGATTTTTTTTTCCCAACAAGATGGAATAGTGAGAGCGATACTCCTTTCTCTTCTGCTGAGTACAACTAAAAATGCTATTTGTTATTCAGTAACAAATATAGACAGATTGACGGGTGGGAAGAAGGTAGCCCTGTCAGAAACACTGAGGCTTCAGGCAAGCCATAGGAGTGAAATATATGTGCATATTTTATTTTATTACTATTATGTTTTTGTGGTCTCATATATATTCAACTTGTGGCTGAGAAGCTCACAATTGGAAATGTCAAAGAGTAGGCTTTCCAGACACAGTTTAAGATGGTACTGCCTCTTTTGTGGCTAACACCACTGGAAAAACCAGCACGCAACAAGTGTAGCTTTGTACCCCGATTGCAGAGATTTAGGAGGGAGCCAACACTTCCTGCCTGGAAGGCCACGATGTCCAAAAATCGGTATAAATCCCAGACTTTCATTCCTGCTAGGAAGACCCATCATCAACTTGAACCCTGAAATTACTGATAACCTGGTGTTCTGTCAGTTGCTTACTAGCAAAATTAAAGCCTGGATAGTGAGAAATACAGGGTCCCCTACTATCAACCATTGAGTTGTCACAAGTTCCTGTTGGTAAGGGGTGGCTCCATAACCTGGATCTCCTTATCTCGTTGAAGTAATAAAGAGCGTCCCTACTGGTGCTATGGCAGATCC